ATAAATATGATATGTAAAGTTATGAAATAATGATACATTAACTGCTATGGAAATGGCTTCTTTGTTATATACTTCCACATGCACTTATTGTTGTAGTTATGGGAAAGGTAATCTGTACAACCTTGCAACCTTGAGATGGTCCTTAATTTTCCCGCTTGTTAATACCGGCTTTGACGTATCATTTCTTGTTTCTCCATGATCTAAATGGTATTGATGAAATTTCTTTATTTCTTATACAAAGTTATGCCATTCCTAGGAGGTCTCTACAGCTGTACCAAAGCTTACAAGAGAATTTTCTGGGCAGTACAGTGATTTCAATATTCTTTCTTCTTTAAATTCTCAGGTAAGCAGAAACTTATGTTAAGTATGCCCCTTTGGGCATGTTGCAAAAGGTTGGGGTGCGGCTTTGTATTAATATTATGCAGTTGTCCATATTTCTTTATTCTCTTATTTTTTGCAGCTTACATGGATAACTTATCCCCTGCTTTTTTGCCTTTCTCTACTCTCTCCCCAGTAATTTTCTTTTCACAAAAAAAGTTTAAAAATGAAAGTTAAAACAGCTTATGCATGTGAACTCCCTTTCATCAAGTGAATGTAAAATACTTCCCTTTGGTGCATGAAAAAATATATATATTAAGTCCATGAACTATATATTAATAGGGTAAAGCATTGAAGATAGCATTTTGTTATTTTCACACTCTTGCCATCTTTTAATTTCCGACCATTGTTTTCCTTTTTAACTACTACACATGGTTTTTATATGCATATAAATTAGAAACAGTAAACTGCAAAATAGTTAATGTATCAAATAGATCCTTATTGTTGAGAATTTCATGTTCTTCTTTGCTATAACTTAAATTAACAGAAAGGATGAGGGTGGGGAAGAGATAAAGAAAGCTCTGTTATAATTGTTTCTGTAAACTGCTTATGATATGAAATATTGTTGGATCAATTTTATAGATGGGTGCCAAATATTCTTCCCTCCTGAGTCACTTTTGTGTTTCTTGCTTTGCCTTTGAAATCTGTATTCTAGAAGGATTGTTTTCCTCTCTTGTTTGACTAAAAGAATAATTTCACTGTTTAAACTGCCTTCCAAGGAGGAAAGGATGTACGAGTGAGAGAAAGAACTGCATTACAACGTATTTCTAAATATTTGCTATATCGATTTTGAAGATTGTTTAATTCAATATTTTTTCCTTCAAAAAAATTGAACTGTATGCAGTTATGTTGCTGGGGCATTCTTATGTTCCTGAATTCCCAAACTAGAAGGATTCTTCTCTTTATTCTGTTTGTGCACTTTTATGCAAGCTACATATTCTAACAGGGTCTACTTTTTCTTTTGCAAAGTTGTTCGAGAGCTCAGCATTGATGCACATATCTGCAGTGAAATCACTTCTTTCTGCCCTACGTCAGTTGTCACAGCAATGCATGGTTGAGATTTCAAGTGGTTTTGGATCAGCATCTAGTCAAAAAATTGGAAGCATATGTTTCTCAGTGGACAGAATGATATCGATTCTTGTCAACAATCTTCACAGTATGTTACTTGCAGAAGTTTGTTTAAATAGATTAATAAACCACTTGTTTCTCAGAATAAAACAGAAATAAATGGATGCTAGGGAGGTGCCACCCATGTAGAAAAGGAGAAAATTACAGAGAGAAAAGAATAAGAAAGATCATAATGTATATATCGTCCACAACAGGATGACCCCTATGCAAATGAGGATTTTCAGAAGAAGAGACGGAAAAAACAGAGAACAGATTCTAAAAAGTCCTGTGCTTACTCCCTTTCCGAGTGACCAAAAAGACGAGAGGAATGGGGGACGAAACTTCTTTTCTGGTACTTAGGGGTAGGAATACCCTTCTATACGCAAAGCTCATCCTTGATGAAGCTGCTAACCACCCAAGACAGATTTAGAAGGTTGAGAGCTGAATTCCAAAACCTCTAACTTGTGAGCACCATAAAATAAGATGATCTGTTGATTTACTCATTAAGAAACAAGAAGTACAGTGGTTAAATTTCTGCCCTATGCCACTTCCTGGGAGGAAAAAGCAATTCTAGGAGCAACTTTTGTCTCCTAAATGTGTTTCCGAGGAAAATTACCCCCAAAAATATTGCAGAGCTTAGAAGGCTATGGTAAGATATTGCAGTGAATATACCAGCTTTATTGTGCTTCGAAAGTGAGAATATACCAGCCTGTCAAACCCATCAAGCTGGATAGGGTAGTTCTACAGTGAGAAGAATAGCCACCCACTCATCAATCTCCCAATTGTCCAGGTTGCCAAGGAGGGAAGCATCCATTGGATTCGACCATTATGAATTCCATTGGATCCGACCATTATGCACCTCAAAACAATCCACACCTTAACTTCTTTACACCTGGCGACTTAGAACACAGAGGAACCAAGATCTTTAAGCAAACTATTAGTACAACAAGGATGAGGCCATTAGCCAGTTCCCTACCATCATCAACACTAAATTGACTAACCCCAAGAACAACTTCCCAATTTTATGTTGCATAGCAAAAGTAAGTTTAGAATAATAAAATAAGCACTAAATTGGATCCACAATCATAGGGATTGGGGACAACAAAACTCACATGGTTATTGCAACCAAGGTTGCAAGTTCAGGCACTTGATTCACTAGGAATATCAATACATTTTTATTCATAAGTAGTCTCTCTATAATGATGAACCACCCATGTGCTTTCATCTCGAAGAATAATAGATCATCTATTTTCACATTGTGAGGTGACTTGGAAGGTTTGGAGTAGATTTTTATTGGATTCATTATATTGAAAAGTTTTACATGATTTTCTCTTATAGAAAATATACATAAAATGGAAACTAACAACTAATTACAGTTTATGTTTCCTATTTTAATATATTGACTTCTTTTTATAGCCTAGAACATGTATAAGGTCTGTGAATTAATTTCTCAAATCTCTTACAATTATGCTGGAGATTAATTCCACAAATCTCTCAAGACTCCCCACATGCTAGCTTGAAGAGATCTTCCATTGCCAGCTTGTCAACCAACTTGTAACTTTTTTTTCCGCAGTTCCTCAGTAAGCATGTCTATAATCGGATCTGTAGTTGAAATATATGATATACAAATTAGTTCATTCTCAATCTTTTCCTCAATGAAATGTGTTGACTAGGATATTTTATTATTTAATTAGTTAATATGATATAATTAGAATTTTATTAGAATAGTAATCTCATGTAATTATCTATTCTAATAGAATAGTAATTTCTTTATTAATAGGTTAAAAATTTTATAAATACCAAGAAATAATAAGTTAAAGGGTGAGAAATAACGTTTATATATTTTTTCTAAAATCAACATGGTACCAAAGGTAAAATAAAGTTATTTTAGAGTTTTAATTTCGTAGTTTTTTCAAAATCCTGAAATAGCAAAATAGACTAATTTGGGACTCAACTATCAAAATCTAATCTCACCACTACCCTAGATGGAGTTGCAGCCTCACTACCGGCCTACCTCGCCGACTCAAATTACCGTTGTTTGCAAATGCACTGCACTTGCCACCGCCGACCGCCACATTCACCACTGGCAGCTACCCACGTTCCACCGCGATTTCACTAGGAATCACCACAGAAATTGCTGGCGGGTTCAGATCTAGTGCTGATTTGGTGAAAATCGCATCGGAACCACTCGGATCTTGCTTTCCCAAGTTTGAGCGCCGCAAATCGTCTTCTTCTCCAGTTCTCTGACTGCGTATGCGCATAGACAGGCCTTCTATGACCCTTTTTTTGGCTCCTCCATGCGCACTCGTCTCTGGTTTTGCGAATCGACGCTTATCTGGCTTCTCTGCACGCAAGTTGCTCTAACTGGCCTTTTCTAGTCCTTTTTCTAGCTCCTTCGCTCATGTTCGCCTTTAATTTCGTGATCCAGTGTAGATCTGCTTTCTTCGCGTGTGAGCCGCTCCGACCGATCTTTTCTGATCTTTTTTCCAGTTTCTCCATGTGCATCCACCCTTAGTTTCGTGATCCGGTGCAGATCTGCTTCCTCCGCACGCAAGCCGCTCCAACTGATCATTTTTGGTCATTTTTCCAGTTCTTCCGTGCACGTCCGCCGCTGGTTTGTAGCTTGGTTTGCAAGTTAGGCATGTGTAATATCGTTACACCAACTTGAGGAGGGTGTTGATTAGAATATTTTATCGTTTTATTATTTATTTAGTTTATTATTTAATTAGTTAAGATAATATAATTAAAATTTTACTAAAATAGTAATCTTATACAATTAGATTTTTAGTAAAATAGTAATTTTTTTTTTAGTAAGTTAAAAATTTTATAAATAACTTAGGTGTACCAACCTAAAAGGTGAAAAGTAAAGTCTATATTTTTTCTCCAAATCAATAAAATGTTTATCCACTTCCACATGTTTGGTCCTATCAATATTGAATTACAATGTGAGCAATTGAGATAGTTGTCTTATTGTCAAAAAAGACTTTAATAAGTGAAATTTGCAACCTTCAATTCTCCCAATAGTCTCTTAATCCAAAATATTTCACAAACCTCGAGAGCTATTATTGTAGACTCAGCCTTTCCATTGCTTCTGGCCACCACATTTTATTTTTTATTATGTTAAATAATTAAGTTGCCTCCAACAAATGTACAATAGTTAGAGGTTGATCTCCTATCTTTAGCATGTAATATGTGTCATACTAGATTGATAGATCTGAAATATTTGTAGTTAGATACTCTTTTAGTATTTGGAATTAACAACAGGAAGTAAGCATCTTGTTTATAATTAAGAAGTGTTGATTTTGGAGAAAAAAATTTTAACTTTATTTTTTCATACCCTTTATGTTGTTACATTTGTGGTATTTATAAAATTTTTAATTTATTGATAATAAAATTTTTAGTCTAGTAGAATTTTAATTATATAAAATTACTAATTTCATAAAATTTTAATTATATCATCTCAACTAATTAAGTGATAAAGTAATTGCAAACCAAGTTGTTAATCAACTGTGGACGCACATGGAAGAGTTGGAAAAAGGACCAGAAAAGGTTGGTCGTAGCGGCTCTCGCATGGAGGAAATAAATCTGCACTAGATCGTGAAATGAGAAGTAGACGTGTGCGGAGGAACCGAAAAAGGATCAGAAAAGGCTGGTTGGAATGGCTCACGCGTGAAGAAGGCGATCTGTGCCGGATTGCGAAGCGTCTAGATATATGGCGGCGGCAACATAGTAATGCACTAGAAGGGGGCTGCTAAAGAAGAAGCGACAATCAAATTTACTTCCTTCGACATGAGATCCGAGTTGTACTCGGAGGAAGTCTATTTGCAAGTGCAACCGAATCTGTTGCTTCCATGCGTGTCCAACACTGGAAGAGGAGTTGCGCATTTCCAGAGAAGAAGATCTATAGCGGCAAGGTGGGAAAGCCATATCTAAGCGGTCTGGGTGCGATTTTCATCAGATCTGTGCCGGATATGAACCCACTGGAAATTCTTATGGAGATTCATGGTGAAATTGTGGTGGAACATGGCAGACGGTGGCGGCACATGGGCAACGCGTGTGGCTTACGGCGCCTTTGCTGCTGGCAGCTGGTGGAGTTTGCAACAGTGTCTAGGGTGATGATGAAAATAGATTTGGATAATTGAGTATTAACTCAACTTATTGTGTTATTTTAGGATTTTAAGAAAATCCTTAAATTAGAGCTTTAAAATAATTTTATTTGGCTCTGATACCATATTGATTTTTGAGAAAAAATATTAAATTTTATTTTTCACACCCTTTATATTATTACATTTGGGGTATTTATAGAATTCCTAACATGCTGATAAGTAAATTTTTATTTTATTAGAATTCTAATTATATATGATTATTATTCTCATAAAATTTTAATTACATTATCTCAACTAATTAAATGATAAGTTAATTAAACAATAATAAAATATCATAGTCAATAAGAAATGTAAAGAATCTGCACATCCCCATTAAATGTTTATTTAACCTCATCCAAACATATCCCGCCACCTTTTACTCATTTTCGCAATCAAAATTCCAACAGGTAATATGGATCTCACCAGACTGATATGCCCGAAATTTCTCTACTTCAATAGTCGTTCAATATTTGGAATTAACAGCAAGAAATAAGCATTTAAGCTGAAACAAGACTGCTAGAGTTTGCAAATTCTCTAAACATATCAACAATCCCACTTTTCACTGTGACCCAATTATAAAGAATAAACTTCATAGAGAAACCATTCAACTTTGTGACGGTACTTTTGACTTTGGGAATTTATCTCCATCAAGTATCTCTTTCCCAGACAAGGAAGCTCAAGTTAACCGTGGTCATCCACACGGAGCACCAAATTTGAAGCCACCCATCTTTAGGTTTCCAAGCCCCAGTTTTTCAATACAACTCAATATAAAAATCATATGTTACTTGCCACATCTTGAAGTTTGGGTTAACATTCCTTTCCCCACCACCTACTTTGGGTAAAATTACTTCTCCAATTAGCGTTAGTTATATGATGAAAAACTTTGGTTCCTATACCCTTCTTTAATCCACATAATTCTCAAAAATTGCATCCGTGAAACTGCATTCATGGATAACAAGCTCGCAGGCTCTAGCTTGGCAAGATTCCTCTTCCCAAGATCAGCCCTTTAAAGACCATTTTCCAATCTGCTCAGTTGGAAAATGATTGCCAACTTCTCATCTCTTTAGTCATTCACGCTACCTAAGGCATCTCTACTCCAAAACTTTGCCTTATCCTACTACTCTGGAGCTGGCAAAACCCACTGGTCTAGTCTTCTCCCACCACAACTTGAAAGGTCTTTGAAACCCTTCAGCTTAAGCCACATGTTAAATCTAAAACAAAGAGGACCTCATTTTATAACATCTAAATGAAGGCAAATAAAAAAAGTCAGAAAGAGGTCTAGAAAGTCTAGATTACACCATCATAAAGAAAACTTCCTATGGCTGCTGGAACTTGGAATCTGTCGTTATGAGAGAAGAAGGGAATGTCCATGGTGCTAGATTAATTCCACTAGTCCCCCTTCAACAGGAAAAACATGAGATTCAGATCACCCAATGTATCTAAAACTCCATGGTTCAATTAGCAGAGGCATTCCCACTGCCATGAAGAACCTCTACCATAGTAAAGCACCCACTACCATGAACTATGAAGAACCTCCACTAGCTGTCAGCCTCAGCGCCCTCAAGAAACAACATTCTTTGTCTTTCATCCACATTGAGCCCCCTAATTCTTGGAAACAGCCTCTGGAATTTGTTCCCACCGACAGAAACAGAGTGTGAACCTCACTCTTACAGATCCTTCTCCAGTGATTACGTGCACTTACCCAAAAGGACTCGCAAAATCTTGAAAAACCATTTAATCACACATGCAAAAGAAAGGACCAGGAACCTATTGGGAAAGTTGTTTCCTTCCAACAATATGTCAAAGTATTTCCTTTCAACGACTAGGAAATTTTTGGGAGGAATCATAGATGTAAGAACTGGCCAAGTAAGCCAACCCAAGCGAAAAGGAGATTTTTGTGAAACATGGACCTTCATCTATCTAGGACATCCTATTTTTGCCTATTATACTACCCCAAATATTATTTTATCCCACTCGTTTTGAAAGGTAAAAAATTTTCCTTGATGTGAAAGTTTTTGTTTGCCAAGCGTTCCTGAATAGTTATTTGATTAATATAACACTCATACATATTTATTATATAAGTGATATTTGCTCATGCAGAAGGTTTTACCCAATAAGATAATGTACTCAATGTCAAAATATGCTATTTACAAACAATTTGTCACAGCTTCCATTTATATACTTTTTTTTTTAGGTTTTCTTTTGGGGTGATCTTCATTTCTAATCCTGTATATGGTTTTGGGAGGCGTAAGAGTCATTTGATTTTTTTGGAGAGGGGCTATGTTTTGTGGTTTATGGGTCCTTTGGTTGGAGGGAAACATAAGAAATTTCAAGCAATGATCTTAGTTAGGTTAATGATCTTCGAGAGAGGATAGTGTGCTTTGCTTCTCTTCAGACAAAAGTACATTATTCTTTTAGGAATATAACTTTATCTACCTTACGAAAGGAATGGGATGTGATTTTGTGTCAACCAGAGATTCTCAGCTTCTTTCTGGAGGATGGTTCATCCTCTTTTGGAGTGTAAATTTCTCCGTCTTCTAGTAAAATTTCTTGTGTAAAAGCTTCTGTTTTTAGTTTTTTTTCTGAGAGTAAGGTATCCTCCATGAAAAGTCAAAAGAGATTCTCAAAAGAACCAAAAGAAGTACATATAAATGAAAAGAGGTCATTGTGTGGGAGACCTAATAATAGTATCCCAATTCTAATCTTGTGCTTTGTTGTCATTCCTGAGTTACACCAATATTTTCTCTTCGTGTTATATATCTGGCTTCTGATCTGCATATTCAGTCTCACCATATTCGTCTTTTCATGGGATGTTTTGTGAAGTTAGAATTTCATACATTTGGTTAGATAGAAGTTACAACTACCTTTTGGCTACATTCTGAATATACCTTTTATATTATAGGGGTGGAACCATTGTGGGACCAAGTTGTAAGCCACTTTATTGAGGTGATAATACTTAATTTTTTCATGATGTATTATGTTGTACTATTTCTTTTTTTATTTTTTTTTTGACAGTAAAAAATATGTTGCAGCTTGCTGAACATTCTAATCAGAATTTAAGAAATATGGCGCTTGATGCATTAGATCAGTCAATATATGCTGTTTTAGACTCGGAAAGGTTCCAGGACCATGCACTGTCTCGGCCCCTTATTGCATCTAAGGAAGTGAGATCATTCTCTTCTTCCTTTTTTCTTAGGATTGAAAATTCTGTATTCTGCCAAAAGGAGGAATGCTGTTGTCTGTCATTGACTGTCTCTCTCTCTCTCTGTAAGGTGGAACCTAGTCACATGGAGTTGAGATCCCTTGAATGTGCTGTGATATCTCCACTAAGGGTTCTATATTTTTCTACCGAAAATTTTGATGTTCGTGTTGGATCCTTGAAAATTCTTCTTCATGTTTTAGAGGTAATATATTGCAATACAAAGCAAACAAAACCATTGATTAATAAGTTTTATAACCTCTTCCCTAAATTCATTGGCAGAGATGTGGAGAAAAATTGTATTACAGTTGGCCAAGTATTCTAGAAATGTTGAGGTTTGCCCTGTTTTTAGTGCCTTTTTTCGTGCCTTCAACTTTCATTTTGGGTTTGAGTTCATGTCTGTTTTCAACTTTTGTTTCTTCTGTTTTATGTTTTTTTCAATTGTGATCATTTTCTCTTGTGTAAGATCTGTTGCGGATGCTTTAGAGAAGGATCTTGTCACCCTTGGATTCCAGGTTAGAAAAAGTGCAGCTAAGTCAGCAATGAGTATGCAGCCCTACTGTTCCTTGATGCACTCTAACTTAGTTTATTTCCATGTAGAGCCTTCGGGTCGTTATGAATGATGGACTTTCTTCTGTTCCTGCCAACTGCCTTAATGTGTAAGATTATGAATGTGGTTTTCTGGTGGACTTATCCTTTTTCCTGTCAGAGCTCTCTACATGTTGTTATTGCACTCAATGTTGTGACTGAACCATATGCATTTGTCTTAAACATTTTTGTTTAGGGACAGAATTCTTTTCTATAAGAAAAGAAGGTAAAGTGATTAAAAATCTTTTGGCTAGATGATCAAAGATTTTTTCTTGGGTGCTGGATTTCAACATGATTGCTTGATATCGCTGACTGAAATCCTTTTGAAGTACAGTCTGTATTAATATACATCTTTTGCTGATAAAAGAAAACTATAAGTAACTGAGGACTAGATCCTTTTATTATGGCCTTAAATGGTTTCTCTTCCTTGTAATATGGTGAATATTTGAAGTTCAAGCCGCATAAACTTGGTATCTCTTCCTGAGCAAGATATAGGACATTGTTTTTCATCCATTTATGATTGTAGCTTGCCAGCAGGATATCTGATTGAAGTATTCGGTTTGTTTATTTAAAGAGTTCTGCACTGAATATGCTATTCCCTGGGGAAGGAAATTAAATAAGCTTGCTCTCATTAAATTAGTGGCATCACGTTCTAAGTGTGTAAAAGAAACCAAAAAAAAAAAAAAAAATTGACCTATGGAAAAGGAATTAACAGAAGAGTTATTTGTTATATATCTATGATTTGCTTATAAAGAATAATCTCATGTCACAGCTCTGTAGCCTTGTGGGTGTGGGCGTGATGGTTTGCTGCATATTTACTATACTTTTGGATATTATGCTGAGTTGATGCTTTCTTGATGGCTGATTAGTGTCTGCTTAAGTGAATTTGATAAATGACAGTTGTTGCAACATTATTGGGATAACACTTGTTAATCTGGATAATGTAGATGCATAGACGTTACTGGAGCGTACAGTGCCCAGAAGACTGAACTGAATATAAGCTTGACAGCTATAGGTCTTTTATGGACTATGACTGATTTTATCGCCAAAGGGCTACATTTTGGGTTTGGGGAGGACAAGGAAACAGGTTAATTTCCATCATAAATCTCTTATTTTGTCACCATAGTAAAAGTCTTACGAGTATGTCTGATTCTTTCTGTTTAGTAACACTACAAGAATTGCAGACATGCATTGTGCTAGAAAGCAGATGGATGGTGGAAAGGGAGAAGAACAGACAGCCAACTTAGCTGATAATTCAGACAATCAACCTTCCTTAATCAACGTAATTGATCATAAAAAGTTGTTGTTCCTGGTTTTCTCTTTACTTCAAAAACTTGGAGATGATGAACGTCCAGAGGTATGATAGTCTTTATATTGTGAGCCTTTTATGTTCAGAACTCCTATACAGCACTGAAGGCACTCTCTACAGTGACTAATTGCTGAAAGTCTGCAAGAAACCAATTCTTAGTTGTAATTGCAAAGTCATGTTTTGCATTAATCAAATGCCCTGAGAGATAAGTTTGAATATCAATTAGTCACTTGACAGTTGCGTGCTAGTGGCTGGAAAGTTTGCCTATAGTTATTCTAATAGTTGTGATATCAAATTTTATTTCAGAAGAGAAAAGATAGTTGTGATATTGAACCATTCCTCCTGTCCTTGCTTAGTATTTTGTATAACATCTAAGTCTTGCATCTAGGAGTCTTAATTATTCTCTATCTGAAAAGAAGTTGTATTCTGTACCTCTTGGGGAATTAGAAGTATCTAGTAAAGTGGTTGCATCTATTTTGGATTCCAGGTGAGGAATTCTGCTGTCAGGACACTCTTTCAAATTCTGGGAAGTCATGGGCAAAAACTTTCAAAAACCATGTGGGAGGATTGTCTGTGGAATTATGTTTTCCCTATGTTGGATAGTGCCTCCCACAAGGTAAGGAGAAGCAGTTTTTAATATATAATTTAAAGTCTAGTTGTTTCCTGTGTTGATGAATTTTATTCTCTTCTAGGTTGCCACTTCATCGAAGGATGAATGGCATGGTAAAGAACTTGGGACTCGAGGAGGGAAAGCAGTGCACATGCTTATACACCATAGGTAGTAGAAGTCTTATTATGTTAACATTTTACTTTGCTATATATACCATATCTTTCATCTTGATTTCAAAGAATATTCATGCTCTAATTTTGTTACTCAACTTGCAGTCGTAACACAGCCCAGAAACAGTGGGATGAGACACTTGTACTGGTTCTTGGCGGAATAGCTCGCCTGTTGCGTTCTTTCTTCCCTTTCCTTGAAAGCTTGAGCAATTTTTGGTCAGGTAGGCCTATTCTGTTTAATATTAATGCATCTCACACTTCTAATCTTCCTGTTGTTTTTCCTTGTAGTGAGATTATGAGGGTGTGGGTCAATTGGTCTTGTGGTCAACTAATTGACAGTTTTATCTGGAAAATAATTTTACCAAATAGGTGATGTAGAATAAGGAACTCCTAGAACGAATATATTTCAGTAATAAAATATATGAGACTGTCAGAAGTCTTACTCATAGCTTCAGACTTGAGAGAGAGAAGAGAGAAATAGATAAGAAAAGAGAGATTTTTATTGAGGTGATTGCTTTATTTTTCCATAATTTACAATGATGAAGAACCACCTATTTATAGGCTATGAATGATGAATGCGAACTGGGATGATGCGGANNATTAGGATTTTGCTTACTCTCTCTAATCTTTCTCCTCGTGCTTCTGTCTATTTCCCAGAATAACTCCATTGCATTGGCTTCAAAGCCAATGAAGTCGACCCCCACTAATCCATTTAGCCGTATAACATTTTCAAGTACCCATTTTGACTCTTCTTCCCCCAACCCATTTGTCACAGTGTCCAATGCATTGTCCCCACCATGCTCATCCAAAACTTGGATTGCTAACTGGTTTTGTTCCTCCTGGATCCCGCTCACCCCCTCTGTGGAAACAATCACTGTGAGCTCTCTCCCTCTCACCTGGTCTTCTAACTCCCGGCCTACTTCTGTTATCGCAAACTCTCCCAGACTCTCTACACTCTCGCCACCTTATTTTCTCCCCAAGCCTCCCCACCACATACGAAATATTCTTCGATTCTCCATCTGTCTTCTTCTGACTCACTAACCGAGCCCATATCCCCTCCCATCATTTCAAGTACCAACAGAGACTCAGAAAAAATGAAAGGGTCAGGACACCACTTACCCATTTTCAAAGAGCTACACAAAGATTTCAGGAACTCACCATCTTCATGGCAAACAATGTCTGCGGCATCTGCATCATCCACTTCGAAAGCCCCTCCTGTCTTCTCCAGATTTCTTCTTGCTCCTCTCCATGCCTTCGAAGACATCCTGGGTTCCAGACAGGCGAATCCTAATCCCCTCCTCCTTTCTGAGGTTTCGGCCTTTATCCTTCGCTCTCCAAACTGGACCAATAATCATCCGTTTATCACCCTTGATCCGAATGGCCCTTTTATGATTGAAGTTGGGCTTAGATGATGTTTCCGCCTGGTCATGTATTTTCCATTTTCCTTCCTCAGCCCAAGTAAGTCTTCGGCCCATATCCACTCCTTCAGATCTTCTTTGACCTCCTATCGGCCCAGCTCTAGTTATAATCCTTATTGAGGTCTTTCGTTTAAACATCCTGTTTTGTTTCTCTGCCCCTTACCCTCAAAATGCGGACTTTTTGTGTTGTATTGGGGCTTCCTACGTTGAAGTTCCAAATCGGGTCTCGTGTCGGGTTTGGATCTAATCTGCCCTACCCGATTCACATTCTGTGAGGTTTCCGGAGAAGCTCGGCCAAGGACAAGCTCTGTTTTCGCGACACCCAGACATCAAGTTCTTCCATACAACACAGGCATCTAACAGTGAATGGAGGAACAAGGCAGTGTGCCTGTAGAGTGTTCTCCCTTAGGTCGACATTCTTCCCTTTCACCCAAGCTGGTGGTATAAGCGGTATTCCAATCACCTTATGTAACTCCTCCATCATCTGCCACCAACCCCATTTTTCACCTTCTGGCAAGAATAATCGGTTTCATCTCCCTTTTCCATTAGTGTGTCCTTTGGAAACAACAAGAAACTTCCCCCCCTCAAGTCAAAGTTAGCGCCAAACGAAGAATTTGGTTTCTTCCCTACTCCATCCCCATCTGCCGTCGCTTTTCTCCCACCTAAACTCCCTGAAACTTTTCATCAACCAGTCAACAGCTTCGTTGGAGAACAGAATCGATTTTCTGAAACCTTTCCCATTTTCGAAAATTCTTACTCCGTCGCCTTCCCCCACTACGTCAAACAATTTCTGACCAACCTGTAGAAACTTCCTCTGGCCAACGTACATTCCCACAGGTTCTAGTGTCACCGCGCACAGCAGCGGCAGCGATGCTCTCTCTAGGTTTACAAATTTTGATTTACAATATGTTTTATACACATCCTTTTTATTTCAAAAATATATGTATATATATGTTTTATACAAAACTTTTTATCAATATTTGGGCTTAAGATTCTTTTCAAGTAAATTACTGATATGATAGGCGTCATCAAATGGAAATCCAATATTATTTTTTGATACTTAAAATAGTGAAAATAAGAGTTCTACTTGCAAGGGAAAAGATATTGCAGGGACAACATGATAATTCATATCCTTAAAGTTGCTTTGGATGATATAAAAATAGCTAGCTATGATTGGTAAGATTGATATGTATGAAATGAAGATGAAAAAATGTCAAAAAAAATCTTAAATCTTCAATTATACAAAAACTTGCATCTGAAACGTAGAACATGAAGAACACAAAAAGGATGAAAAGGTGAACGATTTGGTAATTGAGCAAAATCTCACGGAAGTACTGCAACCTATTGGTCCAGAATTAACTAATGATATTGAAGGTATGCACACGTATGAGGTACTTGAGATAGTAGAAGAGATTGTGGACGGGGTTGTTATTCTTGATGATCAAATTGAATTTTCTAGGGATGGGACTCTCGATTTACTTGTGAGCAATGGTGTTGTTGAGGTTGATAACAACAATATTCTTATTGATTTTATTTCTTTGGCTTCTAACAGCAACGGAAAAAGTTTAGTTGTTCTTCCTTTTATAGAATTTATATTCTTAATTGGTTCGCTACATCTCCATAACTTGATTTTGGAAGCATTCATGCTTTTTTATTATAATTTCAAGTTCCACAGACTTCAATTGTTAAGAAAACAAGTTCCAACTTTGATATTCCTTCTATTTCGACATTTCAAAGCTCAAGGTCGAATTTTCACGAAGTTAGGAAAAATGATGTAGAATAGAAAATCTCTTAAAGTGCACATATTAATAATAGGAGATATGAAGCTGAATTGATAAAGGGACATAAACTTTTTGGGAAGTTAACTAAAAGGAATAGAAAGATTTAGTTTCTTTTTTTAAGTTTTGAAAAGTTTTACAATAAATGAAAGTAGGAAGATTTATTTTCCTATTTTCTACATTTCCTCAGTTCTTTCTATTTAACTTATTGTTTATGTACTAGCTTTTTAGATTTCCTATTTTTATGTATTTGACACCTATAGATAAGGTACGTAGCTTAGTTATTATGTTGACTATTCATGATAATTATTCAAATATTGAAATATTACTTTGATTATTGTGATCCAAGACCTTCATATTTTTCTCTAAGTTTTGTCTTATCCTACATCAGTAGTTTTTAATCCAAAGAAATGAAAGTTAAAACAGTGAAATCTTGATATAAGATGAGGAGGTATGAAAAGATCTCACAGTTAGAGGTTAGATGGTTAGGAAACTGGTTGCATGATGATGAAGTGTAATCAATTCTTTTCTTGAAGGGGGCTATTGCATGTTCTCGTAAATGCCACTCATATGTTTAGCCATCACTACGAACATCACAAAATGCCTCATTTCTGCAGGATGGGAGTCTTTGCTTCTTTTTGTTAAGAATAGCACCTTCAGTGGCAGTAAAGAGGTTGTGCTTGCAGCAATAAATTGTTTACAGACAACTATTCTTGCCCACTGCGTCAAGGTAAACATCAATCCCCTAAACTACAACTTTGATTACTTTCATCCATGAACTGCCTGGTTTATTTTCATATAATTGTTTTAGAATTCTGTCTCTAAATGTTGAGTGGTAACAATGCGTCCATCTCTTCAGCTAAATTTTTCTAATGATTCAGGGAAACTTACCGATGCCTTACCTGGACTCTGTTCTGGATGTCTATGAGTTTGTTTTCCAAAAATCACCAATATACAGCAACAGTACAGCTAGCAAGGTGAAGCAGGAGATTTTGAACGGTCTTGGTAATTTACTGCAATTTTTTATTTCTGTTAAATTCATTTGAGCATTAGGCTCTGTTTAACTACAAGCAAGAATCCATGAATAAAAGAATATTTGATCAAAATAATAATTTTCTTGGCTGGAAAATAAACAAATATTACGGATAAAAGAAATATGATTAAAACATGGTCATTCCTATTAGCTTAAGATTTTGAGGTATTGGTTATCTAATCAAATTGTTTTGCTTGATATAGTTTAAGGTTCTGAGGTTAAACCATAGTTACCTAAGATACGGTACATCTGGACTGTGGTCCTGGATACGGTTATGGAACATTATAGATGCTAAATTTTGGTTCAAGGTGGGTAGGTTTTATCAGTATGTTGTTTCAATCCGGAGTTTCCTTCGACCACTTATTAGATTCATTATATGGATGAAAGTGATACTTCAGTTATACATTCGACCCTTTGGTTCTTGGTCTTTGTTTATGAGAAGAGACCCTGCATTCAAATCATTGTTATAACTGCAACAAAAATACCAATCTCATGTTGCAAATTGTTAGAACTGAGTTAATTTATTACAAGTTTTTAAAGAAAATAATCAACATATTTTTAAGTTCCAAGAAAGAAAATGCTGTTTAATAGACTCTTGCTTTTTGAACACGTACCTCTTTCACTTTTACACATAACTAATCTCAATTTTGAAAAGGCATTTCTCTCTTTCTCTACCTTTTTATGCTCTATCTTCAGGATCCTACTCTATCAACTTGCTCCACTTAATTCTGGATTTCTAGCTTTAGAGATTTAGATTGAGATCCAAAATGAACCCATGGAAATCTGTAACACAAAGCAGTTTGAAAATTTTAGTTTGTAGATCACAGTGGGCTTGAAAGATGCTAATAACTTTGTGTTAAACCGTAGAAGCCTCATCCTCTTCTATGCAAAGCCTGTTGATTAGCTTATAGCATGTGCATTTATTTGGTACATGTTCACGTGTTAAACTTAATATCGCACTTGAGGGTGAGCAGATGTGTTAACATACCAGATAAATAGTAAAGTTGGGCAATTTCTTACGAGTTTATCTTTCAGAATAATTCATTATGAAACCAAATCATTTTTTACTCGTATGAATACTTAATACAGTCTACTCTTACGTTTCCTTTTTTTTAATCTCTTTTGGATGGATCTTCAAACTTTTGCAGGGGAACTATATGTGCAAGCACAGAGGATGTTTGATGACCACAGGTTTTCACAGTTGCTAGCAATTATACAGTTGGCAATAAAGCAGACCATGATTACCAATGATAACTACGAATCTGATTTTGTGAGTTCTAAAATGGGGCTCTAATTACTTCAAGCTCATATTTACTCTGCTTCTCCTAAACATTTTTGTGTAACTATTCAGAAAGTGAGTGGAAATGGAATATTCTGTTGCATCAAAGCCGTAATGATTAGAAATTAAAATGAACCTTAGTATGTGCATCAGTGATCAGAAATTAGAAAGAATTAACTAGGACAGCCAAGCTAACATGTTCTAGAAGATCTCTTGGCTCTCCTTGTTGCTGGACTCTTATCCAAATTCTTTGTTGCAAATCATGTTGGTTTCCTTATCAATTTCATTCTTCATTACATTACATTTCCAAATCACCAGATGTTCTCGCAAATCATGGGAGTTCCATGTGTTCTTTTCTTTTTAGGACTGGGGGTAAACATATCAGACTTCTTGTATTACTTGTTGCAATGAAGGACCTTGCATGGTGGAAAATTAATTCTATTTAATCATTTTATCCAGCCTGTCAATTCACTTGTCTAGCTACATTATAATTATCAAATTATGAAATGTATGTTGTTTCTGTCTAGGGACATGTTCCACCTGTATTACGTACTGTGCTTGAGATCTTACCTTTGTTACGCCCGACTGAGCGTCTTAATTCAATGTGGCTTGTCCTTCTTAGAGAGCTTCGGCAATATCTTCCAGGATCAGATTCAGCTTTACAGAGTGAGGAAGATGAACCTGAACAAGCCAGCACTAGTGACCATGGTCAAGGTATACGCTTCACCTAAATACTGTTATGACTAACATTCAAGAAATTTGAAATTTACAAGCTGTTTCCACAGATATCCATTTGAAGAAAGGACAGGCAAATGGTACTGCTTTTTTGTCTGAAAAAGTTGAAGCTTCATCCTTGAATTCAGGATCTGCTATTACCAGATCAGCAGCAATACCAAGTTATATGTTTGCAGAAAAACTAATTCCTGTTATAGTAGATCTGCTCTTACAGGCTCCAACAGTTGAAAAATATATCATGTTTCCAGAAATTATTCAAAGCCTTGGAAGGTATAGCATGTCCTCTGATGATAAATCCTTTTGTTGCAGCATCAAATTATATCAGAAATGTGAAGATTCAAAATTTCAATGTATTGGCTTCCTCAGTTTGTCAGTAATATATCATAATATCTGCCTCCCTTTGTACTGCAAAAATATTTGTGGCAGGTGAAACTAGTCTTCACCTTTTCCCTGACTCATCTCTTTAACTACTCCTGGAAGAAGTGGATGCAGACTACTTTATTTTCATAGTCTTAAGTTATTTTAGTATCACCATTTCCTCACTTTGCTGTGTTATAAGAGATATGCCATCTAATGGATATAATAGGAGTGCATTAGGATGTCTTTCAGTAGCGGCTTTCTTCTTGTATATGACTTTAAACTCTTCTGGATTCCTCAGTTATTTGCCCAGGATAACTATTAAGGTGGTCAATTTTTTCTCCCCAAGACGTTTTAGGTCACTTGTGGCACATGGAAAGGCCTTTACTATTATTAGTTTGCATCTAGAGAAATAATTGTTTTGAGCTTGTTCATTTGATGGCTTTTCTCAAGTTTTAGCTAGAGTTGTGATGGTTAAAAGTAATTTTGTTTTTGTAAAGAATTTAGTCACAATGTTGCCATCAATTGACAAAAAGAAATATTGATTACAAGCCAAATTCTTTGAACTGTAGAAAGTCCTCTTGGCTCTTGCCAAATAGCAAACAACGTTCCAGTACAAAGGGCAAAGCATGTAAGCATCTGTTTTTTTATATTTGATGAAAGAAAAGACTTCTCCTCCCCCTCAAAAGTTATTTATCTCTCATTCAAACAATCAAAGGTATAATCAAAGAAGCAGTAGCCACTGCTTTCTAGATCTCCCTAGAGGGATGAATTTTCTTATACAACCAGGCCTGCAAGCCCTTGCCAATCGACTCTCTAACTATCAAGATCATTTGATACTTAAATTAGGACTTAGCTTTTATTCTCGAAAGAGCGGGAATTAGTTTGATTGTAGGAACTTCTTTAAAAGCCACTCCTTGCAGAAATAGTACTTGGTATTTCAGCCTTTTTTTTATTTCACATGAAGGAATTAGATATTCCATTATTTCATGACATGCGAAACAAAGACTGGTGGGGAATACATAAAAGGTAATAAAGCCAAAAATAAGTCTAAAGTTTATATTTCTTTATATGGATTCTCATGTGAGAACTGTGGTTATAGATTGTACCAGATTATTCTCGTTGGCTATGACCCATTGATTTTTTTTCAATGGGTCATGTTCTTCCTCACGTTCTCACCTTGGTCAACTTGATGAAAAGATGTCACTTTATTGCAAATAGATGCTTCCTATGTAAAAATGCCCTGGAAACCTGCAATCACCTTCTCTTGAGATGCCCGACTACTCATAATCTTTGGAACATGATTCTTGGACTGTTGGGAGTTTCTTGGACAATGTCTGAAAATGTTTGTACTGAATTGATGGCCTGGGAGGATTTAGGCAGCAAGAATAAATCTATTAGGCTCATTTCCCTTACAATTTTTTGGGTCATCTGGAAAGAAAGAAATAACAGGGCTTTTGATGGAATTGAGTCTGATTTCAACAATGTTAAGGATAACTGGTTTCATTACTTTGGTTCTAACTTATTAGGGTATAACCTTGATCATTTTGATGATTTAGGTGACATTTGAGATATAAATTTTGTACATGGGCAGTGCTCCCTTAGCACCTTATATCAATACAAGCTTCATACTTTTATTTCCAAAAAAAAAAAAAAATTAATATCTAAGATGTTCTAGTATCATGTTCTCTTATTCCTTTCTTTCCTGTAAAACAGATATTTTCACAAAAAAATTTTACAGTCCCTTTTTTTGTTGTTGCTCCACATGAATGAATCTCCCTGTGTTGCTTCTCTTGATATCACGACATCTCTATTTCTGATATTGTCTCTTGAATCTGTCTTGAAGAAAATTTGTTAGCCAGTAGAAAAATCTAACTAGTGGTTCGATTACCTTAGAACTACAGAAAGCTTCTAACCACGTTGCCATTTTAAATGCTCTTTTCTGTAGGGATTAAAAACAGTGTAATGAGTAAATAACAGGATTAGTATTTTTATCAGGTGTATGACAACAAGAAGAGACAATCCAGATGGCTCACTTTGGAGGGTAGCCGTTGAAGGCTTCAATCGCATGCTAGCTTATGACATTGACAAGTTAAACATGAATTGTGATCCAGATTCAAAACTTAGCAGACCTGCAAGAGTGCGTTTTTGGAAAGAAGTTGCAGATGTCTATGAGATATTTCTTGTGGGTTACTGTGGGCGTGCACTTTCTTCCCATTCCCTGCCAGATATGGCACTTGAGCCTGATGAATCCCTTGAAATGACCATATTAAAGATTCTGGGTGATAGAATTCTCAAGTCGACTATTGATGCACCTGCAGATGTAAGCAATTTTTATATGCAGTTATTGCCTTCTGTTGTGCCTTAAAGTAGTGTCACTTGTTCAAATATAAAGAAAGTATGACTCACATTTTGTCTGAAGCTGTAAGTCGAGCTTACTACTCTTACAGTGTCCTTTTATTTAATTATTTTTGTTAACGTTTACAGATTCTTGAACGGCTTGTTTCAACCTTGGACCGTTGTGCGTCACGTACATGCTTTTTACCTGTTGAGACAGTGGAACTTATGCCTGCTCACTGTAGCAGATTTTCATTGACTTGTTTGCAGATGTTATTTTCCTTGAGTAGGTGAGAAGTTATATAAAATGATTTAGATAATAGTTCTTTTGTCATCTATAGTTTTCTTATGGCCAACTATATGAAGAAATTTTAACTTTTAACTACAAAAACTGAAGATGACTATGGAAAGTGCATTGACTGAATTCTTGTCTTAACTGATGGTGTAAATTTGGCAAGTCCATGATTGTAAGATATACTTAATCTGCTGGTTGTACAGTTAAATGTCAATCTCTTTCTCATTTCGTCAAAACTTCTATACTATTGTTGCTAGTCTTTTCTTTTCCTTTTCCCAGTGGAAATAACGAGCATAAAATTACTTTCTATAGTCAGTTTCATCAACTCAGTTTCTAAATGATTTGAGTTGTTCCACTGAGCATTGCCTTATATCTGTTTATGAATTTGCTTAATGAAGCCCCTCAGTTATTCCTTGTGAAGGCATGATTCTTCCCTGTTTCCTGTTAGCCATTAGACTTTGACATACTGATGATGTGTTGTCAGTTTTGATGATAAAACCGGAGATTTGAGCTTGACAGGACTTGAAGTTAGCAAAATCTCTATCATGGTGCTTGTGCACAGATGTGAATATATCCTAAAAAGATTTCTAATTGATGAGAATAACTTAGGTACGGGCTTCTGTACTGTCAAATACGGACATGTGGATATTATGTTAGATTCATTCCATTCCCTGAACGTGTGCAATGCCCTCTGCAGGTGAACATCCATTACCAAGGCCAAGGCTTGAAGAAATTATTTTTGTCCTTCAAGAACTGGCATATCTTGTAATTCATCCTGAAACTGCATCTGTTCTCCCACTACATCCGAATTTGAAAAGTGGCCTAGCAGAGCATAAAGACGACAAACATCCACATCTACTTGTTCTATTTCCTGCCTTTTGTGAGCTTGTTATATCAAGGTGAGAGCAATGTCACTTGTTACTGGTTGATTGTAGCTATCAATTTTATGCTTTCTCTATATAGTTCAATATGATGGTTCTACATTTTACAGTAAGAAAGTAGCTAATGGTTTGAAGTAGTAAAATATAAAGCATCAGTGATGCCAAACCTTCCCAATAATGAGCCAACAAGAATTATAAAGGGATGTTATCGAAACAAAAGCGCACTGTTAGAATAATAGCTTCCTATAGTATTTTCCTTATGGTATTCCTTTAGAGATCGGTATCCTTTTAGTACTCTGGTTTTTTTCCCTGTCATAGATTAGCCTATAAAAATCCATGTATAAGCAGAATAAAAACAAATATATTATTATTCAAGTTTATCATCGTACAATGGCCTTCATTGTGATCCATAGTTAAAAAGACTAGCAGAATTAAGTTTTCAAATGTTTGATATATGTTTCCTAGGTCGTAAAAGTGTCTCTTATAATTACCATTAGGTTCCATCTGAGTGGAGAAACATGAAGGGAAAGGAAAAACAAGAAATGAGGATTATTTGGTGCTTTCAATAAAAAAAGACAGGATTTATTGAATTGAAGTGGCTCAATCAGAAAAATGAATAAATTTGCATTATTTGCTACTAGGATCAAATTAACTCTGCTCCGATTCCCTCCTCTCCTCTCCCCAATGGATTCTTTAAGCTAATTTCTTGTATCAATGCTGGAATTTAAAGAGCTGAAGAAGGTTAAGTGTGTTAGCTTTAAAGTGGAGTGGAGAGATGATTTGGGGAAATGCCTCACCAAGTGGTCAGTTAAATCCTACAAAGCTGAGATATGAAATGTTCGTCTAGGATGTGATTATGAAGTATGAGCATTTCATTTTTGTATACCCTTGCTATGAGTGTGCATTCTTAACTTCTATCTTCGTTTTATCCTTCGCTCGGGCAGAGAATCTCGAGTTAGAGAGCTGGTGCAGGTTCTACTTAGACTCATCGTGACACAGCTGGGACTCGAAAAGGTTAGTGTAGGCAATTGATACGCGGAAGTCTCCTTGCAAGGATTCAAGCACTTACACATGTAACCTCATTGTTGTTAATAGAAATTAATCGGAGGAGTTTTCTGCTGTCCTCCTCCTCCTCTTCCAATACGGTATTAACGTTTATTTGTAAATCATAGCTTATTTGTAACATCTGTTGTATCAAGATAACTAGCTCCGGGGTGATAATTCTTTGAACCATGACTCATGAGCTTCGTATCAGTTTTGACACCGTCGCACTGTCACACAGTCAATAGTGATAGCCAAAAATCGGGATACTAGTTACAATATATATTTACGAAAATTACATCAACTTATCATTTTAAGCTTTGTTTATTTCATGGGGTGGTCTAGCTTTATTTCAATTCGAACTCGGATTTTAATTTTTCTTGTGAAAATTTATTACCGTGTAGTTTGTTTTTATTAATTTATTTATCATTTCATAGAAAATAATTAGTTTTCTAAATTTATAATCTCGTTAATCTTTTTTTTTTTG